GGAGGTCGGGGTGGGGCTGACAGTCCCAGCCCTCCAATCCTGTCTGAGTCTTTTGGTGACCAGCCCCCTCCTGACGCTGTCCAGGGCCCCAGCCATCTCGTTAGCATACAGAAGCCACACTTGTCACTCCAGGATTCAGGGATTTTGGCAGCTGTGTGCTAGGAGCAGGGGCAGAGACCACATTTATCCAGTATCATTGTCACCTAAGGCACATTGTTCCTGTGAGCACAGATTTGTACCTGGAGTGAATTTCTTATGGAAATTGCCTGGACTGGAATTCAGCTTCTTTCAGTGTGTCTGATTTTTAGAGCACGGAGCCTCAGCGTTTTAGACTTCTTTATATCATGCTAAAAACACTCAGTAGGACGGTGTCATCCTCCATCCGGCAAAGCGCCTGGTGTGCCTGGTGTGGATCAGGCACAGTGCTCAGGTCCGACCCTTGTGGAGTTCACAGGCTCCTGGGTGAGGAGAGATGGTGGTGAGTAATCTCAGGATGATTAGTTAGAGTGTGACACGCGCTCCAGACCCTTAGCTGACGCAGTGGAGGGTTGTAATGCTTTGCGGGTCTGTTGTATCAGGTTGGCAGTCTCTCAATATCATGGAAATATTATGTGTAAATTGGTCGATTAAATATTTCTGAGATAAGTATAACATTACTTCTGCTCTTGACTTTAGAAATCTTTCCGTGATTCAAGAGGTATAATATTTATAATCATATCATTTATTTCTAGATGAACTGAAAACTTGCATTAGCAGTGTCTTTCCGTTTACTTAAAAATAATTAATACCAGCTTTTTTCATAGATGTGTCTGTCCTCTTCATCTCTACTTTTTTTCCAACTTTTTTAATGGTACTTATTTCAAAAGGTTTTAAAAAGTTTATGTCTTTATCTTTACTGAGCCTATTCAAAGACTTCAGGAAAAGGTAAAGATGTTTTAAATTTGGGTTTTAGACCTTTTTAAAATTTTAAATATCTTTATTTTAAAATTCAATTAAGTTCAATAGTTGTTTCACAGAAATAAGCAAAAGGTAGCAATTTATACAGATAGCTAAGTTCCAGATAGTACAAATTCCATATTTCTTTAAGTTTCTCTACTTGGGCACTAGTGATGTGAGTGGGTAATGCTCTGCGGGGGCACCCCATGTGCTCAAGGGTGTGTGGCAGCATCCCAGGCCTCTACCACTTGGTGCCACTGGCACCCTTTAGATACGGCGACAAAAATCTCCCCAGACATTGCCCAGTGTCCCTGGTGGGGCAGGGGAAGGTGGAAGTCCCCTGGCTGGGAATCTTTGCTTCCAGTGTCCAAGAACGCAGCCCCATGTCCTTGCCCGCGAGCTCCCAGGTCGAGCAAGCATCAGCTAGCTGCATCTGTGGTTTTTAGGTTAGTATACTTATTGGAAACTTACCTTGAGGAGTGGAGATTTGCCAAAATAATCTTGGCTGTTTGTCCCACAGCATGTATGTGCATAGCCATTTCATCATTTTATTAAAGTCCAACGGAAAATCCTGTATCTAAAACACGGAGTATGAAATTCCCAATGTCTTCCGTCTGAGTGGCACATACTAGCTGCTCCTGTGTGAGTCTCTCGTGGCTGCTGTATTAGAGTATCACAAACTGGGGGGGCTTTAAACAACATAAATTTATTCTCTTGGTTCTGGAGGCTGGAAGTCTGAAATCAAGGCCTCTGTAGGGCCGCGCTCTGGTGGCTTCAGGGGAGGACCCTTCCTGTCCCTTCAGCTTCTAGTGTTCCTCGATTTATGACCACAGCACTCCACTCCCTGCCTCTGTCCTCACACGGCCCGTCTTCTTCCAACTCTCACAGGACACATGGCATGTGGTTTAAGGGCCTTAAAGTTAAGGATACCCTTAACTCACTTACATCTGCACAGACCCTATTTCCAAATAAGGTCCGTTTTCCAATCCTGGGACTGGGACTGAGACATGTCATTGCTGGAGAACACGGTTTAACCCACAGCCACCACAGTGTGCCCTTGGGGCATTTGAACACATTCATTTGGCTTTTTGTGTGATCATAGCAGTCACTGTTGGCTTTCTGTGGCTTTGCACAGATTCGGGACCCAAAGACCCTCCTTCCCATGCCAGGGGTGATGGTCGGCGACATGGGGAAGAAACTCGGGCAGAACGGACTGGATAACGGGTGAGTGACACCGCACAGCACTGAGGTTCCCTCAAGCACGTGCAGTGCCGCCATTCCTGGGGTCCCACTGGCCTGTCAGTGCTGTTGCCTGCTGGCAGACTCAGAGGGTGGGGACCAGACCTGACCCTGCACAGGCAGCACTGTGTCCTGCTGCAGCTACACTCAGCAACTTTGCCCGGCCAGTGGTGGCTCCTATTCCCACATGGGGCCCAGGCCCTTGTGCTGGTGGGGCCTCCGTGTAAGGACTGCATCAGTGTCCCAAGCTGGGACTCGGCCTCAGCACCTGTCCACAGTGAGCTTGAGGGACCCGTGTCCGCAGTGGCTGCCTTTGCTTGCCCCTCCCCCAGCACGTGGAGGAGAGCGTTCGCTTTGCTCATCAGTCCACAGCTGACTCCCTAGCACCGCGCTCTGTGGCAGGAGACCCGAGTGTGTTGGGCCACAGGTACTCATGTGAGTTTGCTCTCGAGGTGAGGCAGGGCCTCTGGGCCCTGGGATCGTCTTGAAGGGGCCGGCTGGGAGGAAGTCTGGGCTAGGCCAGGAGCTCTAGGAGGATTTAGACCTCCTGATCATCAATAGCACAAGCTTTGGGATCAGATCTGGATTTAACAATTTGCGTAATCTTGACCAACTTTCTACATAGTGGGCGCAACAACAGTGGTCCCTGTGCCAGGCCCTTGCAGGGTGTTCTTCCTGGCCCTTGGGTGTGCACGTGGAACTCGACACACGTTTCCCAGGAAACCTGGCCCTGCAGAGTTTGGGCTTCTCTGTGCCCACGAGATAATTTCCGACTAAGTAGGAAGCAAAGCCGGGGTGTTCCTGAGTCTGGTGTCCTGTTTTATGTCCCCAGAATGTTGTAGACTTGCTGCTGGAAAACTGAGGACGCCTGCCTCGCTGGGTGACACCAACTGGCCATTGTCAACGGAAAAAAAGACCAAACTCTGTAAAATAATTTTAAAGAGATTTACTCTGAGCCAAATTTAAGAACCATGACCCGGAGCCACACCCAAGAGGCCTTGAGCAAGTGGCCTCGCTGTGGTTGGGTCATAGTTTGGTTTTATACATTTCAGGGAGACAGGGATTACAGGTAAAGTCATAAATCAATATGTGGGAGGCATACATTGGTTTCGCCCGAAAAGGTGGGCCATCTCGAAGAGGGGGGTGCGGCTTACAAGTTATAAGGTGGGTTTAAAGACTCTTTGGCTTGTAATTGGTTAAAGACATGAAGCTTTTTCTAAAGGCTTGGAATGTTTTAACATAGGAGCTGTTTATTAGAGATAAGTCACTGGATTATTATTAGAGATAAGCCACCGGACATAGATTTGTTGTGTAACTTAAGGACCTGCGAGTTTGTCTTGCATCCCTTAGGCCTGTTAATGGGTTATAAAGGATGTTCCCAAGAACGGAGGGGGGCATAATAAGGCATGTCTGACCTCCTTCCTCTTGGCAGGCAATTTAGTTTTAGGATATTCCTTTGGCCACAAGAGGGTCCATTTAGTCAGCTGGTGAAGGGGTGAGCCTTAAAATTTTATTTTAGTTCACACCGTCATGCCTGGGTTCTCAGGCATAAAGGAGGAGGTCATCTCTAGAGAGAGGAGCTTGGCCAGGTGGCTTCCAAGGACCCCACTATGGGGAAATCTCTTCATCTGTCCCTCCTAAGAAGTCAGAGTGGTGGGGGTATTCCTGAAAGCTCAGCACTTGTCCCCGAGGCCGAATCAGAAAAATGAGGACCAGTGGTTTGAGGAGGAAGGAAAGGGACGTTTTTTTACTTTGCCAGCAAAGGAGGAGGATGATGGAGACTGCTATCTGAAATGCCATCATCCTCATAATAAGCAAAATATGGAGCTTTTAAAGGGTGGGTTCTCAGCTTCAGGCAATTACTGTTCAGTATAGTTGATGATTCTGATCATCCCATCTCTGCAGAAGACAATCCCCTGAGCTGCAACCAGGACCTCCCTTTACCAGGTGGGGGTTGGGCAATCTCTTGTAGCACCAATAGCAAAAGACTTACCTGCCCTTCCCAGCTACTGGCCTGAGGCAGGGATGCAGGTTTTGGTTCTCAAAAAGGAGTGGAGGACTCCTTAAGAAGACAGAAAATATTTTTGCATTTTTTTTTCCAAGCCATTCCCTCTGTTATAGGGGGGTGTCTCAAAACTCTACTTGGGCCTTTAAAACAGGTAGGGCCCCAGACTGCACCAAAGTGGGCTACAAACCTTTGATTTTTACTCAGTGTCAGCTTGAGAAGAAAGTAAAAGGATGTTTAAAAACAAAACAAGACACGCATGCACAAAACCCACCTAACGCCTACCTTGCAGAATTCTGAACTTCTCACTCTCTGGCTTGTACTAGGAATCTGCTAGTTAACCTTAGAGACAGCAGGAAGGAGGAAGACCACCCCAACCTAGGGCTGGGAACTCCTTTACATTTTTGTCTTGTTTTGTTTTGTTTTTGAGATGGTCTTGCTCTGTCACCCAGGCTAGAGTGTGGCAGTGTCATCATGGCTCAGAGCAGCCTCAAACACCAGGGCTCAAGTTATCCTCCTGCCTCAGCCTCCTGAGTAGGTGGGACTACAGGCATGTGTCATCACACCAGGCTAATTTTTCTATTTTTAGTAGAGACGGGGTCTTGCTCTTACTCAGGCTGGTCTCGAACTCCTGACCTCAAGTGATCCTCCCACCCCAGCCTCCCAGAGTGCTAGGATTGCAGGCGTGAGCCACCGTACCCAGCCTGGAAACTCCTTTAAATCACTCCTTCCTTGGGGCACGTGGGAGGCCTTTGGCATGGATGGTGCCCATGTGGCACGTGTGGAGGTTCACTGTTCTGGCCCTTTCTCCTCAGGGTGGAGGGAAGGCCCCTAGCAATCCACTGGAGGGAGTGACATGATTTGGCCTGTTTGAGAAAGATGACTCTGGCCTCAGGGTGAGAAGCCTCAAGCTCATCCGTGAATGGGGCATGGGAGGGACTGTCTTGCTCTAGGTTTTGAAAACTAATATCTTTTCATTAGGTCTGTATGTTCCAATTTGGAGCTCAGAAAACATGTGCATTGTCGCTCTGCCCATTGAAGGGCTCTGTATGTGCACACGAGGCCTGGCGGGTGCGTTCTCCTTGGGCGCGTGGTAGTAAATTGTCACACGCAGTGGGTGACATCAGGTTTGATCAAGGATCTCTGCTCACTGTTCACTCCATTTAACAAATTTGAATCCTTAACATTATTTGGAACACCACAGAAACAGAAAAACTCTGCACTTGGTTCCCCTCAAATAGACTCATATTTCTAGAGATTGGATACACATCTCTTACTGGGGCGATATTCCAAGGAGCATTAAATCAAGCCACTTACAATAATACATCACATCGATACAGTAAAGGCTCTTCTAAAACCCAGGAATGCCAGTCACCCCTGCTATGGCCATGGGCACCATGATGACAGCCAAAGGAAGCAGTTTCTGCTCCACCAGATCAGAGTCCTGCCCCGCAAAGCCTTCCCTCTGTGTCTTTTGCACGCTCAGTGGCAGGAGACAACAGATACTGGAAGCAACCTTACTTGACCCCTGAGGCTTTGCAGGCCGAGTGGCTTGCTGGGGTGTGAGCCAGCAGGTGTGATGCAGGGTGCGTCCTCCCACCTCATGCACAGAAACCGGCTCTTCCTGCGCCCTGCAGGGGGCGCGCAGTGCTGCAGTGCTGCGGTGGTTTGAGAACCGGCTCAAGTCCCCAAGGAGTTTCTCTGCGCAATTCAGCCTGCATTCTCTGTGCTAGTTTAAAGATCAGTATCATAATTTAGTGATTTTTTTTTTATTAATACTAATGTCAAGATCATCTTTTCTGAGAAAAGCGGTAACAATTTGTAGGTCAGATTTTGTCACTTTACAAGAATTTCCAAGTATGTTGGATGGCTGCCTAGAAATTGGAAACAAACATAAATTCTGCAGATTAATTTTAGGCAAAGAGCTCTGAAAGCAAAATAACAAAGATCTTTTCAAGTGGTATTTTCAGCCATACCCTTAAGGTGAGCCACAGGTACTTTTCCACGTGGTTCCTCTGAGGCGTGGCAGCATCCGGGCCTGGGACCCGTCCTGAAGTAGCTGGAAGCCCCTTAGGCTGGACGGCCTATGCAATGGAGCTGGGCCGGGGGCCCTGGGAGGCCCCAGGGGAGGAGGGAAACGGCTGAAACACGGACGGGGAGGCCCAGCAAAGAGGGCGCATGCGGGGCCTGGAGCTCCAGGACGGTGGGTCTTCTGCACCACACACAGTCCTCCCATGCTGCACACATGTCCCTGTACTGTATCCACGCCCTGTGCCGCGCACACACATGCCCCATGACACACACACCTGCCCAGTGCTGCGCACACGTGTTCCATGACACACACGTCCTGTGACACACATGCGTGGTACCCCACGCACGTCCTGCCCACCGGGGACACTGGATTCTGGTGTGCAGGTTGGCCCACCAGTCGGCCGCATCTGACTGATTCTGGAACTGCTTTTGTGGAACAGAAGCGATCAGGAGAGAATGTGTGGAATTTCGCTTTCCGTTAAACTCGAGGGAATACTTTTGTGAGGATAAATATATTCAGATTTGTTCCATCTCTGTGTGGCAAGAATGGGTGAAGATTTTCCACTCCTTAAAAAGGGCACTTTCTGTTAACAGAATCACACTTGGAAAAGCATTCCTCAGCTTTCAAGTAACAGGCAGGAACACATGGGGCTGTTGGCACTGAGGCCAGGTTTTCCTACAAAGTGGGCGTGCTGAGCATGCATCTGTGTGGCTGTGGCATGGGCGAGGCTGCCACCCACACAACACCTGCGGCGGCAGCGTGTGCCGGTCAGGCCGGCTTGGGGGCTCAAGCTGGCGGAGCCACTGGGGAACGGGTCTCTGCTGGCCTGCACTTTGTGCAGGGGCAGCTGCAGGGCCTGCTGGCCTGGAATCCCTTCTTGCCAAATCTCCTGGACATCCCCTGAGGAATTTGGGAGGGGCTCCCCAGCCCTGTCCTGCACCAAGGCCCAGGGTCCTTGCCCTTCCCTGGGTGTGCTGGCACGTGCAGTCCCCAGGACTCGGGTCAAGGGATGGCACCAGCACTTCAGATGATGTTACGAAAAGGCGAATAAGCCCAGGAAACTGCTGACAAGGATTGGGCTCATCGAGGAACAATGACGGTTGAGGGTTGCCACAGAACGGGGCTCCCTCTGGGTGCCCTGGGGCCCACTGTGTACCTATCGCAGGGTGGGGTGGAGATCGTGATGGCTCCCGGGAAGGCAGCCAGTCAGGTTGCACTCCGAGGCCACCTGGGTGTTGACAGTGACATGCAGGGTGTGCCTGGAGGTCAGGAGACAGCCTGGCTGGGTTGAGGCGTCACAGGCAGACCGGACCAGGCTGTGGCTGCAGGAGGCAGTGCCGTCAGAGGAGCGGCTGAGCTCAGGTTGGGAGGCCTCATGCTTTATTCTGTGGGTTTGGATTCCTAAGGTCATGGGGATCGAACAGCCTCATGGGGAGTGAGGCTATTCCAGTGTCTGCTTGGAGAAGTTTCTGCTCCCAAGTGGAGGGCAGGCTGATGCGGTAGCGTCCAGAAAGAGCCAGTGAATCAGACAGGAGGAGATGAGGGCTGAGTGGGGGCTGGGGATAGGTACAGCTGGGGATGGAGGGGAAGGGAATTGACAGCACAGCAGAGCGACAACCTGGTGTGGTTGGGGGTGACCCCGACGGGGACCCACGTGCTATAGTTAGGGAGCAGCAGCTCGGGGGAGGATGCGCCCGAGCAGTGGGTCCTCCCGCCCTGCACATACAATGGTTCTTTGTACATAGTGTTTTCTGTGGTTCAGTAAAAGAATATTCTCAGAGGTATGGCAAATGATCTCAGTAATCAGTAAGTTGCTATGGGAACTATTGATATTTTTACATTTGTTTGGATTTTTTTTTTTTGCACAGTTTATGTAATATCCATAAGTTTGCATAGATTGTTCCCCAGACTATTGTGAAATAGGTTTTCTTGACCTGACAACCATAAAAAAATAGATTATTAATACATCATGGTCCTTGATGTGTATATAATCCTATTCTTGGCGGTTCAAAAGAAATGAATTTGCTTGAGTCTGAGCGCTCATGCCAGAACACAGTCCTTTTGTTTGACTTGAGAGCCTTAAACCTTTAGCTGGGCCTGGTGGTGGTGCCTTCAGTCCCAGCTACTTCGGAGGCTGAGGCAGGAGGCTCGCTGGAGCCCGGGATGTGAGGCTGCAGAAGCTGTGATGACGCCACTGCACTCCAGCCCCAACAACAAAGCGAGACCCTGTCTCAAAAAAAAGGGAGCGTTAAACATCAATTTGCTGGTGTTACCACATCATATTGCAGGGCCCGGTTGGAGACTGAAGTATGAGAATCAGAGATTCCAATCTTTAAAATCGCATTTCCCGTTGAATTTCTGTTGAACATCCATGCTCAGCCCTGAGCGGCCGGTGGGAAAGAGGCCTTGGTGTGGATGCCCATCAACATTCCACAGCTTGTGTCGTGTAAACCCACCACGCACACTTCATTTTTTATTATTTCAGAATGTTACGGGGGTACAAACATTTAGGTTACATATATTGCCTTTGCCTGTCAATACGTGAGCAGGTTAATAAACGTGGCGTATGTATGCCATGAGTGCTGCTGAAACACTGTATTTTTTAACCTACTTTTTTAGATAGAAAGTTTGTTGGGCTTCCCTGTCCCCTGGCGTGCTCTCTGGTTTTCTTTGTCCTTGGGGGTTATGTCACCTTTGAAGCTAGCCTTGGGGTGACCCGTGTCACAGCAGCCCTGCCTCCTCCCCACAGGTTCGCCGTGTTCCACCAGGTGTGCGTTCCTCGCCAGAACCTCCTGAACCGCACTGGAGACGTCACCCCCGATGGCACCTACATTAGCCCCTTCAAGGTGCGGTGTTTGTGGTGGGTGGTCTGCGCAGTGCTTGCTTCCAGGAGCCTTCCCCACAACCTGGCACCACTCCCGCTCCTCACCTGGGGGACACCCCTCCGTGGCAAGCTTGGCAGGGGCACCTCTCTTGGTTTGGATCCTGGTGCCCCAACTCGGAAGGGGACCCTTGGGTTGGCACAGCTAAGGAGACCCTTGGTGTTGGGGTGAGCCGGGACCTCACAGCGGCGCTGGCTGACCTGCCTGGGGGCATCCCCCTGCCCCCGGGGTCTCCTTCCATCGCTGCCTGAGGGCTCGAAGGGGAAGGGTCTCCTGGTGAACTGCCATCAAGGGGATGACCAAGCTTTCTGGCGTCCAGAACCACCCCCCCCACCATGCATCCAGAGTAGAAGAGAGACAGTGGTGTGGTTCTGGGCAGAGGTGGCCCAAGCCCTAGCTGACCACCCCTGGGAATCAGGAGTGTCCCAAGCACAGACCCTGCAGAGGAGCACCCGGACCACATGCGCCCTCTGTAGCAGAGAGCGAGGGCGTGAAACGAGAGTGACGTAGACTGAGGAGGTACGGAGCAAGGTCAGCCACAGGAAACAAGAAGTCATTTAAAACATGGGAATACTAGCGTAAAATTAATTAAAAACTCACGTGGAAATAAATCACTGAAAGAAAGAGCACAGTAGGTGGGGTACAATGCAGGAGAATGAATTAGAGGTTGGGAAGTTGTCCTCTGGACGACAGCAGGCCAGGATGACATGAAGAAGAGACAAAGTTTTAAGAAACAAAGGAGATAAATGTCTCTAAATTAAAGAAAGGAAGACCTTTGGTTGGAGGGACCCGTGTAGTTCCAAAGAGGAAAAATAAGGAAAAGCCCTACACCCAGGTACATGGTAGAGAAATTTAAGAATATTAAGAGAAAATTCTGAAATCTTCCAGATCTGACTCTAGTGGAATAAAAATCACTTTAACTTCAACTTCCTCAAACACAACACCGAATGCAAGAAGACTGTGAAATAACATTTGGCACCATTGAGGGAAAATAAATGTGTTTTTAAGCAAAGCTGTCATTCCCATGTGAGAGTGTGAGAAATACTCTCAGGCACACACAGCTTTGGCAGATTGCCACTCAAATGCCACAGTGATTTGGAATAAAGGCCCAGATGATAAAAGAAATGAACCCAGGAAAAACAGGAAGAGGTGGGGTGTGGAGGTGATGAGATAATCTGGTGAGGGTGGTGGGTTAGACGTGCCCACAGCCCACTGCTGGGCCTGGAAACAGCCGCTGTTGAAGACCCTGCTGTCTGTGACGAGATACTGAACGGGAGGCTGGACCTAGACACGCGGAGGAACTGCCCACGTTACAGGAGCACAAGGAGCAAAGGTTTCCATTAAAGCAGCAGTCCCCAACCTTTGTGGCACCAGGGACTGTTTCATGAAAGACAATTTTTCCGCATCAGTGGGGTGGGTGGGATGGTTTAGGGATGATCCAAGCATATTACATTTATTGTGCAATCAATCCTCTCTGCTAATGATAATCTGTATTTGCAGCCACTCCCCAGTGCTAGCATCATCGCCTCAGCTCCACCTCAGATCATCAGGCATTGGATTCTTGTAAGGAGCGGACAGCCTAGATCCCTCACGTGTGCAATTTACAGTAGGGTTCGAGCTCCTGTGAGAATCTAATGCTGCTGCTGATCTGACAGGAGGCGCAGCTCAGGCACAATGCGAGCGATGGGGAGCGGCTGTAAATACAGATGAAGCTTCACTCAGTCGCCCACCACTCACCTCCCACTGTGTGGCCCAGTTCCTAACAGGCCACGGACTGGTACTGGTCTGCAGCGCGGGGGGGTTGGGGACCACAGCATTAAACCCCTTAGAATGGCTGCCTTTGATGGGCAGAGAGGAATTCAAGGGGGAGTGGGGTAAAAGGAATGCATTTTATGTGTTTTGTTTTGTTTTGGAGACAGGATCTCACCCTGTTCCCCAGACTGGAGTGCAATATCTCACTGTAGCCTTGAAGTTCAGGGCTCAGGTGGTCCTCCTGCCTCAGCCTCCTGAGTGGCTGGGACAATAGGCACATGCCACCAGGCTTTGCTAATTTTTTCATTTTTTGTAGAGAGGGGATCTCACCGTGTTGCCCAGGCAGGTCTCAAACTCCTGGCCTCAAGCAGTCCTCCCACCTTGGCTTCTCAAAGTGCTGGAATTACAGGCGGCAGCCACCATGCCCAGCCAGGGGAACACGTTTTATTGATAAAACCTCAGAGCCAGAAATGGAGTCACAGTCCAAAGACTACCCCCCAACCCACCCTCTGGCAGCACAGGCCATGTCTCATTGTCACCAGGGTAAAGGTAGGGCCTTGGGACCTCCAGGTGGACAATTTGCAGGTCCCACAGGGCAGTGCTCCTGTACCACACTGTGTGTGCTGTGCTTGCTTTCTGCCTGGGGCAGCCTTTCTCAAGGTAGCGGGTGTCCCCTCCTTTGGGTGCCCCCATCCCATTCACAGCTCACTAATGACACCTGTCCCTGCCTTACAGGTCCACCCTGCTGCACCGTCCTGTGCCTGGGGTGCGCTGGGTACAGGGCCTGGGCAGGCGGGCACAAGTTAACATTGAGGGAACACGTGAGCGTGCCCTCACCTCTGCTCTCTGTGAGGTGGCCATGCGGTCTGGCTCACGCTCAGCGTCTGCTTTCCCTCACAGGACGTCAGACAGCGCTTTGGAGCGTCCCTGGGCAGCTTGTCCATGGGTCGAGTCTCCATCACGGGCATGTCCGTTGTTAACTTGCAACTGGCCGTATCCATAGCTCTTCGTTTCTCAGCCACTCGGCGGCAGTTTGGCCCAACACAGGAGGAGGAAATACCGGTACTTGAGTATCAATTGCAGGTACAGGTTTCCAAGTATCATTTCACTTTCTTTTTGTTATGCGTACAAATATACTGCTTTTTAGATAGTTGCAATTTGGTTCCTGGGAGTTGGTCAAAGCTCTTAATGGAATTAATAAGACAGTTACCAGGAGTGCACATCTCAGGCAGCAAGGCCTCTAATAAATGGTCTTTAATCAAAAAGGAATGTACATGAAGTAGCCAAATGAGGAAAATGGACAGAAGTGAGGCTAGGAGGCAGGGGTGTGCACCCTCTGCATGTACAGGTTGGGCAGGTGGTGGCATTGCATGTCCTGGGCATGTTCTTTGACGCAGTCAAACCATCCCTAAGAAATTATTCCAAGGAGATAACTTTTGAGAGGCAGCAGCTGGGTATGCAGCTCTGTGTGCTGTGATGGCGGTTAGAGCAGCAGATGGGGTAGCTGTGGACAGGCACAGACACGATCACACGCAAAGGGGAAGTAAACGGTCACAGCAGACATCCCTACAGTGCCCTCCCTACGTGCTCTGTGTTTGGTCTCTGCAACAGGTGGGTTGGAATTACCATTCCCAGTTTACAGGTGGGGAACTGAGGACCAAACGGGAGACGCCAACCAAAGTTAGTAGCTAAATCCGGCCCAGGTCTTGGGCCAAGCTTTGCATAAACAAAGGTATGTTTGGATGAAAGTTCGAAAAAGTTGTAACAGCAGTTACAATCTCAGTTGTTTCTTTCAACATCCCTTTCACTATGGCTGTGAACCTGCTCTAGCAAGTGTCCTGGTTCGTGCCTGTGCAGCTCTCAACCCATCCTGTGCCAGTCTCATGGCCTGTGTGGTCACGTGCGTCTGGGCGCTGAGGGTGCTCAGTGCTTGGCGAGCTCTGGGAGCAACAGTGCCCATGCTCATGACCCAGGTCCAGCCGACCAGCTGTATGCCCTCAGGCACGGTCCCCACCCCTCTGCTCTACTGTCCTCATTTGTGAATTTCCCAGGGCGGGTGTAAGGATTAAAGAAGCTGATACGTGGGGCAGCCGGCACAGAGCCTGGGTGGTACCTGGGACGTGTCAGACCACGGTGGTGACGGTTTCCGGGTGCCTTCCAGGCACATCCCCTCCCTCGCTGCCATCCGGCAGTGGCTGTGTCCTGGTCTGCGCCAGGTGTGTGAAGAGAAAAGGACAGGCCCTGCCCCTCGAGGAGCTGTGGCTCTGCCTGCCCTCGGTCTTCCTGTCTGGCCCGGGACGGTAGCTACGTCCTGCACAGGCCCTGTGTGCGGCATGGCAGCCCCCAGCACGGTGACTTTCCCAGTTCACAGGGAGACGGACACTTTCTTCTGAAGTGACTTTGACAGGACAGCTCTGAGGGGCGGGTGTGCAGGGAGTTGCGTTTGAGGTTGTACATCCAGGATGATGGCCCGTCGGGGTAAGGGTTTCCTCGAGTACCAGGAAGACACGGGGAGGCCTCAGTGCTGACGGAGTGGGACCCTGACAGCCTCCCCTTCCTCTGCCTTCACAGTCCCCCCGGGCAGCAGCCCTCAGTGGGAGCTGTGGTATGTTCACACGGGCATCTGTTGTTCCAGCAATGGCGCTTGCTTCCTTACCTGGCGGCTGCCTACGCCTTACACCACTTCGTCAAGTCACTCTTCCTGGACCTGGCGGAGCTGCAGCGGGGCCTTCTGGGAGGAGACCGCAGTGCCAGGCAGGTGAGGTGGCATTCCCTTTCCTTAGCAGCACTGTCATCCGAATTTCACAGAGGCTGCACAGCACAGATTCAGCCTTTATTTCAAAACAAAACCAGTCCGTGAGTTTGTGGGGCGAGAGCCTGGGGCGTGTGCCTGCAGCCATCCCCGTTTGAAACTCTAGGCGTCCACTGAGATTCAAAGTTTGGGCACACGGCCACGTCCCTGTCCCTGCTTTAAGGATGTGCTGACACGACTCCGGATTCGGTCTGTGAGTTCAGCTGTTGTTCTCCTTTTGAGAACATGATGGTTTTGCAAAATTGGCACTGCCAGCCCCTCAGTAGATTTCATGGTTCCAAGCCTTCCATAAACAACCGCACAAAGGTCTGAATCAGCCGACTGGATTCAAGTTGACAGTCAAGGATTTGTGCCAGCAACAAGCATGCAGATCCGCTGAGATCAGCCACTGCGTGAGGAGGAGTCCGTTGCTAATTTCTTGGTGGATGGTTTGCGAGCAGGTTTTCCACAGTCCCCTGCTGCCTACGGAGCAAGAGTAAGATGTGAATCAAAGAGATGCGTTTGGAAACGGGTTAGAAATACTGCAGAGGGGGGCTGTGTTCCACGTCGGCAAGAGCCAGTGTCGAATGAGCATGTTGTAGAACGTTCAGCATGAACACGGAGGAGTCCAGAGGCAAGGATGGGAGGGGCGGCCACCAGGGTTCATTGCAGAGCAGACCAGAAGCCCAGCGGGGCCTAAGTGGGGAGCATTCGTGAGAAATGAAGAGGTGGCCTGTTTCTCCCTAGCATGAGTCACTGGAACTTCTGCCAGCTGACGTTTGCATTGTTCTCCTGTTAATAATGCTGTAAAGTGTGGTCACACTTTATTCTTTCTGCAACTCGTGGTTTAACCCCAGCACAGCAGGACCTAAGAGTAGCCCCTTATTTGAAGCTGAAAACATTAGTAAAATTGATCATTTTATTTAGCAGGGGTGTGTGTCTCTTTCTCTTAATTGTTTTAATTATTAGATGTCAAGTAGAAGCAAAAGAATCTCTATAAACACATGTTGGGCAGGAGGGAGGAGGACATGAGCACCTTCACAAGGCCAATGTCGGGTGCCTTTAACCTTCTGGGAACTGACCGACCCCAGCCCTTCCCTCTCCCCGCAGGGAGGTGCCGTCTCCAGCATTGGGTCTGACTCCTGGCCTTTCTTTATAAGTTTTGCCACAAGTGATTGCAGCCTCCAGCTGCGTGTTGTTCTCTTACACTTGTGAACTTTGTATAAGCTGGTCGTGATGCCTATTCTGCAGTTTGCTTCGGCACACACGTGAGGTCCCTGAGATTTATCTGCTGGACAGAGCTGGGTCTGTTTCATTGCATGTGCAGGAACCTCAGCGTAGCCACTCTTGGATGAAGGAGCTTTTGTTTTCAATTAAAATTGGATTTCATTTTCTGAAATTGTGGGGGTATCTTGGATTGGACTGGAGGGGACACAGCCCTTTGGTACTAGTGCTGAAGCTGACCCATGACTTTTGTTGTTGGAAGTGTCTTCTCACCTGTTCTTCTTGGATTCCTTTACCCAAAGGCAGAGCTTGGACATGAGATCCACGCTCTGGCATCAGCCGGCAAGCCCCTGGCCTCGTGGACAGCCCAGCAAGGAATTCAGGAATGCCGGGAGGCGTGCGGAGGACACGGTTATCTGGCTAGTAGGTGTTGGAGATGCGGGAGCGGGGGCAGTTTCCCTTCCTAAACCTACCATTTGCTCTAGACCACGGGTTGGCAAACTATGTCCTGCCCGAGGACCAAATCCAACCTGCCACCCGTTTTTGTAGATGAAGTTTTATTGGAACACAGCCATGCCCTATCATTCACACATTTTGTACAGCTGTTTTTACACTGCAGCAGCAGAGTTGAATTGTCACGACATAGACCCCATGTGGCCTGCAAAGCCTGAAATATTTCCCATCCAGCCCGTTACAGAACAACTTTGCCAGCCCTGCCCTAGACAGAGCCTGCTGCTTTCTGATGCCTGGTGTTTCTTGGTCAGAATCTGGGGATGATGATGAAGTATGGAGAAGCCGTGTGAATGAGCCCGCTAAAGCCAGAGCACAGAGCAGGTTATCTGTCTGTTTGAATTTAACTCTTTGGTTCATGACTTGGTGTAACTAGAACCAAGTTTTATTCTGATAGAAAATTCTTAAATTTAGGAAAAAAAGAGTTAGTTTTATTGGCATTGTTGTTTAGGCATAGGTGTGTGGCTAAGAGAGTGGGTGACCAGCCAGCCGAGACCAGGTCCTGGCGTGGCCTCCCTGGTGTCGTAACTGGGTGAGCTGCTTGACCTCATTGCACCTCGGTTTCCTTGTGTGTAAGATGGGGTTAGTAACAGTGTCCCCAGAGCATGGATTCTCTCCAGGATTAAGTGGATTAATGCATAGAAGGTGTTAGCACAGGATCTAGCATGTAGTACGTGCCTAGTGACTTTTATCTGCTATTGTTTTTGGTAGAATCACTGTCATTATTTGCAAACCTACAAAACTTCATTTATGCTGATCTTAAATAATTGGTTAAAAACTGGTTGTTCAGAAAAGCCACATACACACTCAGAAGAGCAACAGGACTGGCCAAAACCTTGCTGACCTACAGAAGCATTTTAGGTTCTTGCCAAGTTTTGCAGCTCAGTGTTTGTTTGCCCCGTTGCTGTACTGGCGTGTGCCTGCTCCAGCATGAGGTGGGCAGCAGCATGGCCCCTGTGATGCCTCCACGCCCTGTGTCTTGTCACCTACGACACGTAGGTAGCCATGGCTGTGCATGAGTTACTCATCTACGTGTTTTGTCCTCTGTGCAATGCTCTTAGTAGTTTTTATTTGTTGTTATAACTCATAGAAATGCTATAAATAGTTCAGCTTTGTTCTGTTTTTATTTTATTTTTTTTTTTTTTGAGACAGAGTCTCACTTTGTTGCCCTGGCTAGAGTGAGTGCCGTGGCGTTAGCCTAGCTCACAGCAACCTCACACTCCTGGGCTCAAGCAATCCTACTGCCTCAGCCTCCCAAGTAGCTGGGACTACAGGCATGCGCCACCATGTCCAGCTAATTTTTTTTTTCTATATATTTTTAGCTGTCCAATTAATTTCTTTCTATTTTTGGTAGAGACAGGGTCTCGCTCTTGCTCAGGCTGGTCTCGAACTCCTGAGCTCAAACAATCCGCCCACCTCGGCCTCCCAGAGTGCTAGGATTACAGGCGTGAGCCACCGCGCCCGGCCCTGTTCTGTTTTTAAATAGAATAAGGAAATTGAATCTTGCAGTATTGCAGAAAACAAAAGCAACTGTATCAAGATTCATTTCGTGTACAAACACTGGCCTGAGACCAATAAGACCAAAGTCAACAGGGATAAATGAGAAGGCTTTTATCTAGGTTTAATATACCAATTGCAAGTTTTTCCTGTAAGGTCTCTCTTGCTGTGCATGTTCGGTGGCTGATCCGTGGCACGGGCAGGGGAGACGTGATTTGACAGCAAGTCAGGGGAAAGCGGTCAGGTTCTGGGTGAGCATATCCTACCGGCAGCATGTCTCACACCCTCCCTGGCCCCATCAGTCCCTGTAGGTGAGTGGGAGAAGTGCGAGTCTCCTCCTGTCCCTGTGGTGCTCCTCCCATCCAGCCTCACATCGGAGAACATTTTCCAGCAGAGGAGGGAGACCTGATGCCTTAAAATATATGAAGGAATTGGGCTATTTAACTGGCAGGAGAAACAAAAGAAAAATGAGTTGTCTTCAAATATTTGGAATTTTTTGTGTAAAAAGAAGGGTTCGTTCAGTTGTAGAAGGAAGAACCGTAGCCCCCCGAGACCATTCCCATCTGTCAGTGACCCCCATGCTGGGGACGACTGGGACAAGAGGTGGGGTTCCTGGGGCCTCTCTCTGGTCATGCTGAGCCTGGCTTCTGAGATTCGGATGGTGGTGGCTGTCTCTGCAATGTGCATCTGCAATGATGGCGATGTCATGGGCTCGTTGTAGTGAACCGGCTGGGGGTCCTCAGAGATGACAATGACCCAAACTGCACGTACGAGGGTGACAACAACGTCCTGCTGCAGCAGACGAGCAACTACCTTCTGGGGCTCCTGGCACGCCGGGACCAAGGTGAGGCTCCACTGCATGCCAGGCACCCAGGGCTCACCTGGGGGGATTCCTTTGGCCCCCACTGATTAGCTTTCTGTTACGATGTCCCCTGCCTTTGCAGGAAGAAGAAAAAGTTATGCCTGAGCGGCTTCCAACGTGATGGGCTGTGGGTAGGGGGGAGGGGTGTTGAGACACAGACCCTGGCTGGGGGGCTGCATGTGTCCTTCACATGCTCTCTGTGGTTTGGGGTCCCCTATCTTTCACCAAAGTCACGGGATGTGTGTCCTAGGTGGAGCTCGCCTCCAGAGCCCTCTGAAGACGGTGGACTTTCTAGAAGCCTATCCCGACATCCTTGGCCAGAGGTTCACCGGATCCAGCTTTGCCGACTGCCTGGACTCTGCAGGTAAACATGTACTGTCCTTGGTTATGCAGGCAAAGGGTTTCCCTGGAAACCACCAGGAAATGAGCTGTGCCATGGGGAGGGGCCTCGGCGGTTATAGCCGGGAGCCGGGGCACAGTGGCAGCAGGGCCGCGAGTGCAGCTTCTCCCTGGCTCATTGCTAACCAGTGTCTGTGTGTGCCCGACGCTGAGTTAGGCGCTAACTCCAAAGGGGAATGAAGGTACCCGCGCTCTGCCCCACACCTCCCTCCTTCCCTTCCCCTCGGGTGCCTGGTCTCTGCCCCACAGCCTCCCGGTGACTGGGCTGAGCACCCGGGGCCTTCCTGCCTGCCCCATCTGCCTCCACCCACCCCTGCCCCCAACTTCAGATGCCCCTTCCCACCCTTGGTGCACCCCTTCCCGGGCTCAGTGTACCCCACATGCTTCCTCCTCTGGAGCCTGTGGCACAGGCTCGGTCGTGTCCACGCCTTGCCCCTTGCTTGCTCCCGGGGCCCAGCACAGAGCCAGCTGTGGAGAACCTTCCACATCATCTGCTGAGGGAGCTGCTGCAGGCTCCACCTCACCCCTCAGGGTCTGTTCCTGCAGAGATGGGAATGAGACGCTGGGCCTGTGATGGCAGCGAGGAAGCAAAGCATATTTCATTGCAAACTGTACTTGATCTCGACGCTTGATTTCTTACTATGGAGAGTATTTGCATTCATGCCATTCCTGAGTTAATCCTACACATGTTGGTTAATTGCTCACCTGCATTTCTAGGAGTGGGGTGCGCAGGTTCCTGAGACGCAGCCGCCCGCTCTTGTGGCTGTGCAGTCGAGATGGGACAGGGCCACATGCCAAGGCCCCCGATGTCAGGGAGCAGAAGCCCGCAGGGAGGCAGCCTGGGCTGGCGGCTACCCCACAGGCCTGGGCTGGCCAGGGACAGCCTCTCCGGGGATGTGTCCTTGGAGTTGAGACTTCTGTGGGAGGAGGGGGTGGCCGTGGGACGCCTGAGGGCAGGACGTCTCAGGAGGAGGCAGAGGTCGGGCCTTGCTCTGTTCCGGTGCCATGACATTACCAGGTGCCAACAGGCAGGGGAGCGGCTCCACTGACTTGGATTTGTGTTTGTTTTGATGATTCATGTTTTGAAAATGTTACTCTGGGAGAAAGTCACCTCTGGCTGCTCTGTGGAAACTAATGGAGGTGGTCGAGGTGGCCGTGGCAGGACCACAGCATCGGAGGTGAAGAGAGGGCCCGGTGGGTGGCTGGGTGGGAGGGCTGCCGTGAGCCCTCCTCTCCACAGAGACGCCATGGGCCAGGCTCTGGGTGTCCTGTGGGACACCCACAAAAGGCTTTCTTGGCTTCGGCTGCCCCAGCCAGGCAGTTCTGGGGACTAAATGCAGGGCAAGATTCAGCCCCTAGCTCTGGGACTACAGAGCTCAAGATCTACTACAGCCCATGGAGCCTTCCTAATGGGCGGTGAGGACGAGGTCAGAGCGGCCCCAGGTCCCCAACACCCTGGTGTCGCAGGCCTCTCTGCAGGAAGTGCCTTCCTCCCACCATGGTCTCCCTCTCTCTTGCCAAATCCCACATCAAAAAGAACAGCTGCGAGCCACAGTGGAAGCGCCATCTGATAGTGTCATCACCTCATTTGTTGGTATTTAGGGGCATTCTTCACTTTGCCACCACAGCGCCTGTTTCCTGGAGTCTGGAGCCTGACTCTGTGGAAGATGAAGGCTGAACTCGGACCCCGTTCCCAGTCCTCGCGGGCCGGGCGGAAACCGGCTGTGCAGCGGGACTGACACGTGGGGACGCAGCCCGCCTTCCACAGGGATGAGGCATCGGGCTCCCGCCAGGCCGCCTGGGTTTGATCCAGGCCCTCCTCCTGCCAGCCATGGGGCCTGGGCAAGTCCCTCACCCTTGCGCCTCGGTTCCCTCGTGTGTGGCCTGGGGATGGTCATAGTACTGACTTCCTAAGGTTTTGTACAGACAAATGAGTTAATACAGATATAGCACTTAGCACAGCACTTGGCACCAGATAAGTGCTCAGTAACACGGATGATTACACACAACCACATGCGGTTTTAGGGTTTAGACAGGAAGCCCCATCACGGCACCATGTATTCCATTGAGCACTGTTTAGCAGAACTTTGGACGTGGAGGAGGCACTTGGCCTTGCGTTCAGGAGACTAGAACGTGAGCGTTCTGGGAAGCCCCTGTATCCTCAGGGTGAAGGAGCCACCAACCAGGTGCATGTGGAGGGCGCATGCCAGCCCTTGGGAACAATGCTGATGTGACAGCAGCAGCTGCCAGCCCTGAGCGTGCACCTCGTCTGTCCCCATTCCTGTAGGACTGCGTCCTCATTCGCCATTTATCGGAAAGGAAACCAGAGCAGAGAACCAGAGCAGTGGCTGAAGCAAGAGTCAAGCCCAGGCCAGGCCGGCTTCTCACTGTCTGCTCTGTCCACATCGTCAGCAACCAGGAAACATGTCTGCTGGTCACCACACGGGCCTATGACTTTCCTGACTATAACTAACCTTGTGGATCTTAATCTAGGTTTTTATCTTTTTCTTTTTTTTTTTTTTTTTTGAGACAGAGTCTCACTCTGTTGCCCGCGCTAGAGTGCCGTGGTGTCAGCCTAGCTCACAGCAACCTCAAACTCCTGGGCTCAAGCGATCCTCCTGCCTCAGCCTCCCAAGTAGCTGGGACTACAGGCATGGCCACCATGCCCAGCTAATTTTTTATATATATTTTTAGTTGTCCAGCTAATTTCTTTATATTTTTTTAGTAGAGACAGGGTCTTGCTCTTGCTCAGGCTGGTCTCGAACTCCTGAGCTCAAACGATCCGCCAGCCTCAGCCTCCCAGATTGCTAGGATTACAGGCGTGAGCCACCGCGCCTGGCCTAATCTAGGTTTTTAAAGGGCTAATCTGGCCTGGGATCAGTGGGTCACGCCTGTAATTTCAGCACTTTGGGAAGCCGAAGCAGGAGGATGATGGTTTAAGGCCAGGAGTTCAAAACCAGCCTGGGCAATACAGTGAGACCCTATCCCTATAAAAAAATGCAAAAACCAGCCAGGCGTGGTGGTGCCTGTAGTCCCAGCTACTCAGGAGGCTGAGGCGGGAGGATCACTTGTGCCCAAGAGTTCAAGGTTGCAGTGAGCTGTGATCGTACCACTGCAGTCCAGCCTGGGCAACAAAGCAAGACCCTGTCTCAAAAAAGTAAATAAAGGGCTAATTGGAAACAGGGACACGCTTGAAGATCTATTTCTGATGTTTGCAAGTTGCTTTCTAAGCTTCCCAAATGTTGCCACAGAAAGAACTTGAAAATAACTTAATCATTGCAATAATTTCTACCCAACCAAAAGTTTCTTCCTAAAACTATTGCTCTTTATAAAGTCAGAACATAGACAAATAATCAACCGGCATCTTTGTGTGTCTTCATGCCCTGCTCATCTTCCTTCCCTTCTGCTGAAACTGTGAAGGCAAAAGCAATTTTGTATACCAGCATCAGGAGAAATGCCAAACTGACGTAATTTGTTTTTCCTATGACTGCCCCAATTTTTGCAAGATCCAACAAAGTGAAAACATTTTCTGGAGGAAAAAATGCAAGTGAAATTCACTGAGTGAAAGTGATTTGGCAGAGACACAAGTCTTCACACACACAGGCGCTCAGGGCTTGGCCAGCCCCTTCGTGTCGGGGCGTTGGGTCACTAAACGCCAAATCTTGGGCTGACTGCACAGCCTGTGTCATCTTGGTCTTTGGTAAACGTTTCGTAAGTGACTTAAGGCTCTCGAGCTCTGCAGGACTGTAGAGACGCGGGCCTTTTCCAGGATTGCGACTCCTGTTTGGAAGATGGAGAGATTTATCAAGCCTTGGGCCCTGACCCTTCAGGGGTCAGATTCTTAGTGGAGTTGGGGCTTGGGGGGGTGGGGAGGGGCATCACTTTCTGTTGGGTTTGTCTGATCGCTGCAGAGACCGTGCGCTGAGCTGTGTTTGTCAAACAACTCTGTGTACCTGAGGACATGCACCGTCTGTCCGTGTTGCCAGACCAATTTCTTTTCCTTTAGTTGGCTCATTTGTATTAATGTTAAATAATTGCAGTGTTTACTGTTTGACAGATGTGTGTATATATGGGCAGCAAGATCACGTGATGTGAGCATGAGCTCACACAGGGTCATGTGGGCAGTGAGGTCACATGGGGTCACGTGGGCTGAGCAGTGAGGTCAAGTGGGGTCACCCGACCCAGCAGGGGGTTGTCGTGGGCAGACAGTGTTCCCAGCCATTAGACTGGAACTCAGGCACTCGGTCAGCACTGCTCCCTAGTGGTGTGACCTTGAGCTAGGCTGTGATCTTTCTGGGCCTCAGTTTCTCTTCTGCCAAACCTGGTAGGGCCCAGCTCATGGAGTGCTTGCAGTGGGGGCCGGCTGCTGTGTGGGGGGGATCGCTGTCCTGACACTCCCTTGGGCATGACAGACGAGGTGAGGTCCAGCTTGGTGGGTCAAGGAACGTCTCACAGGAAGCTGGCACGAGAGGTGGGTCTCAGAGGGTCTGTGTGATGTGTCTGGGGAGCTGCCAGCTATTCAGGGGACCTGGGGCCTGTGTCTCGCTGTCCAGGACGTGACTCAGAGCCATGTGCTGCTCCAGGAGTGCTGGTGCGACGTGGAGGGGCCTGGGCACAGGGAGACCAGCAAGGAAAAGGACCCCCAGGCAGAGGCACAGGCCTGGAGAGCAGCTGAGACCGAGGGGCCCACCAGGCAGGAGGGTGGGTGACAGGGGAGCCTGGCTGCCCCTAGGGGCTCAGGTTTGGACCTGCCCAGCTGAGATGTCCAGAAGCCCCCGGGCTAAGAGGTACAGGCAGGCCAGCAGCCCTGGGAGTGGCGGGAGGGCGCTGGGGCCCGTGAGTCTCGGGGGAGTAGGCGGTGCATGGCAAAGCACCAGGCAGGGGCCAAGGACAGACCAGAGCCAGGGCAGGGGAAGCCCAGGGCCGGCCGAGGGGTCAAGGGGTGGCTGAGGGAGCCTCAGAGTCCCTCTGGTGGGGCTCAGCAAAGGGCCATTGTGACGGGGACCCCAGGAAGGTCTGAGCGTGAAGGTTGAAGCCGTGTGTGTGGGTTCTTGGGCCATCAGCAGCCTCGTCCCAGGCAAGAGAATTTACTGCCATATGGTGCCTGTTTCCCACATGATTTCATTGTTTCATTGTTAGTCTTTCGCTTTCAGATAAACTCTACACTCGGGACGGCCCACGCTCACCTGCCATTGTCACGTGCGCTTCCACATGCTCGTTGGGAAATCTTCTCCCCTCCACATGAACACTTCAAAACAATGTGATATATTTTTTCAGGAAAAATTAAGAACTAAAAGTAGTGTCTAAACAAAAATGCTATGCAAACCCAACTCATTATCAAGCTTGTTTCTCGTTTGAAGTACAAAGCAAAATCTAAACTGGTCGTTGACATTAAGCATCATGGGTTAAATCTGGTTGTGGAAATAGCTTGGAAAGTTCAGGTAACAGCAGCGCAGCGTCCACTACAGAGGGACACCCCTAGGTGGTGTTTGGGAGGGACGCTGAGCCGTGCAGATGTGTTGTGGGACATGGGCCTCTGGTGTAGTCAGGAACTCGCACGAGCAGTTTCTAGCCTGGGCCATTCCTTGGGTCTTGTTGCTGTTGTCGCTTGTTGTCCATAAAGAAAACGTGACTCTGCAGTGTCCACCTCTCCCTGCTGACCGTCCCTCTGCCCTGACCGTCCCTCCTGCTGGGAAGAGCCTGGGAAGCAGCAGAGTCTCAGAGGCACCAAGAATGGGGGTCACGAGGGCCTCTGCCACCAGCAGTGTCCTGAGGGCAGCATTTAAGGCTCAGGAATGGCCACGGGGCAGCCCGCGTGTTAGTTCTGCAGCAGCCAGAACAAAGTGCCACAAACTGGGGGCTAAAAACAGACATTGATTCTCTGATAGTTCAGGGGCAGAAATCCAAAACCAAGGTGTTGGTGGGGCTGCGCCCCTAGACGTCTAGGGAGGGTCCTTCCTGCCTGTTCCAGCTACTGGCAGCTCCAGGCGTCCTTTGCTGTGGCCGCGTCACTCCAGCCTCTGCCTCCGTGGTCACCACCGCCTCCTCTGGTATCTCCTTTTCTGTCCCTCTTGAAGACACTTGTCGTTGGGTTTAGGGCCCAGTCTGGCCCAGGAGGACCTCACCTCGATACCCTTAATGTAACCAACCACATCGGCGGACCATTCGCAAGTTCTGGGGGCCACAAGGTGGACAGCTCTTCTAGGACTACCATTCAGTGCCTGCACCCGGCTCCTGAGAGCACCTGTGGGGAGGACGCCTCCAGCTTTCCCCTGCACGGGGGTCAGAGCAACCTGTTTCCATCCCCCTCTCCCTCCTGCACGCTGCCTGTGAAGCAGTTTGGTTTGGTTTTTAGTGGGCTTCTCGGTTGTGCTGTGAGGATTCACCAGTGTAGCAGCCGGGAGATGGTGCCGCGACAGGAACCTGCAGACGTTGGGTGTTTTCTCTCCAGGGAACTGGGCTCTGCGACGTGGAAGGAAATCCCGAGATCCCCTTAGCCCCGCCTTGGGGCCCAGACCCAGTGTGGCCAGATCCCCGTCCCCTCCCTGGGGGCTCTGAGCTGAGAGCAGCTGCCAAGCGGAGAGCTCCCTGCTCCCTGCAGCCTGGGGTCGCTCGGGTCCAGGGGCTCAGTGCCCGGGTAGAGGGTGGTGAAAGCGTGGCCTTGGCCGAGTGGCTGCTATAAACCCCACCCACTCACCCGCCCGTGCTGCCTCTTCAGCGGGGTGACAGCACTGCGTGGCAGGGTCTTCTGGGACCACTGTGTGAGGTCAATGCTAGCTGAGCTGTGACGAGGGTGGCCCACGGACATGGCACCACCACTTGCGGGAGGGGAGAGAAGGGGACCTCCAGTGTCCCATTGGTCTGACACCCTGCCACGGCCTCCCTATTCCCAGCGTCCTCTCCCTCCTGCCTTTTATAGCTTAGTCGGGGGGACTGTGCATGGGGTGTATTCTCGGGAGACCCGGTGTCAGTGCCCGGCTCCACAGCTGGCCAGTGAGGGGGCAAAGTGGACAGAGGCACCCCCTCCCCTTGCCCCCTGGCCACCATCTGGCGGGCAGTTGTCCTGAAGCCCATGCAAATCCTTGGTGACACCGAGGGAACAGGGCCGTCTTTTATACAGACAGGTGTGACACACCAGCTGTAAAGTGTAGCTCTTTGCACAGGAGGTGCTGGCCCCCAAGCTGGCTTTGCATCCCTGCGGCCTCTGGGGTTGCTGGGACAGTGTGGGACTCAGGACAGCTTCATGGCTGAACCAGAAAACACCCTCAGCCATGCCTACCCCTGCCTGACCACCGCCTGGCTGGGGGGCATTGGACAGTTATCCTCCCTGTGCCTCAGTTTCTCTGTCTGCAAAATCGGACTTGCAGACTGCTTACGGTGCCATCTGCCCCGGGAGTACCTGTGTGACAAACATGAGATGCCCTATTGTTACTTTTTTCCTTTTGTTTCTTGTTTTTTGAAGTCCCCGTGGCAGCGTACAAGTGGTTGGTTTGTTACCTGCTCCGAGAGAGTTATCAAAAATTAAATCAAGAGAAAAGATCAGGAAGCAATGACTTTGAAGCAAGGAACAACTGCCAGGTACGTGTTTGTTTTAAAAATTGCCTTTTGTATTATTTACTTCTAATTCCTCTGCTGTCGTGTCCCTGGGCGGTCAAACATCGTGGCAGCTGCAGGCCCTCGAGATCTTATAGCCATGGGCATAGCCTTGACCTCCTTGCGCCTGCTTTGCTCCTCTGTGAGGTGGGAGTGGGTCGTGGAAGGAGTGGTGGACGATATACTTGCAGCATCTAATGACATCTGGCCCATAGCCAGAGCTGTTACTGGAGTCGGAGTGTTAGGTGGGGAGAGCCCGGGACACCGCCGTGAGGCCTCAGAAGGCTCCTGACTCACAGGGGTCACCGTGTTCTGCACTCGGTTGTTCTCAAGTCATTATTGCCTGCACTGAGGGGCCGGTGGAGATGGTGCAGGGGTGATTTTTAGTTGGCTTGGGAAAGTGCTTTGATTCTCACACTTAGACAGGGCTGTCTCTCGCGTTCCAGGCCCCCACAGTGCAGAGACACCCTGTTATAAAACACCTCGTTACGGCCAGAGTCTGGTTGTCCTGTGAATCCATTTCTGTCTTACGTATCTGCGTTGGAGGCCGTCACGCAGGGTGGCTGTGGGTGAGGAAGGCACAGAAGCTTGCGAAACGCTGCCGTTCCTCCTCCTCAGCATGGTCAGTGAGGCTGTGTCATGCTCAGTACTGAAGCCACCTGGTCACCCAGTCCAAGTCTGCCTGTCCCCTGCTAAGGCCGCAGACCCCACACCCTACTGCTTCAAGGGGCAGCATCACCCTCCGGCCAGTATCTCTAGGAAGCTGCTGGACACACCTGGCCAGAGTGAGGAGATAAGAAGAAAGAAGGGAGACCAGGCACAGTGGCTCTCACCTGTAATCCTGATACTCTGGGAGGCCAAGAGGCGGAGAATCGCTTGAGGCCAGGAGTTCGAGACCAGCCTGAGCAAGAGACCCCATCTCTACTAAAAATAGAAAAAATTAGCTGAACGTGGTGGGATGTGCCTATAGTCCCAGCTACTGGGGAGGCTGAGACAGGAGGATCGCTCGAGCCCAGGAGTTTTAGGCTGCAGTGAAGAGAGAGGGGCTGCTGACTTCACAGCTTCCTGCTGAGCTCGAGGAAGCCCACATTGACTTTATGGCTTAAAAGAAATGAATTCAGTAGATGGCCACGGTCAGTAGAACTTTTGGTTTAGGGCCACAGTGACCAGAAATAGGAGGCTTGAAATGACCCTTCTGGGATGGCCACTTTCTGCAGCCACCTTGGCCTGGGCACAGCAGGTTTGCTCATTGAGAAATCAGTGGTGCCCGTTGGCTTCCGCTGCAGGTCAAGTCGCCATTCTAAGGTGGACATAGAGACACCGCCCTGAGCTATGAATCAAGACCCCTGAAGAGACGGAGAGCACAAGAGGGGCCCATTCCTCACATCTGGTTCCCTTAAACTTCCTGGAAGATCACTGTAGGTCCTTAGCACCCTTCAGCCCCAGCCTGTGCTGGACCCTGGCACGTGACCTCCCAGCACCCAAGTGTGGGACTCGGTCGTTGAGAAACGATTCACCTTCAGGTCTTCACTAAGGAACTTGACAACAGCACGTTGGTGAGAACAAAGGCACTGGAGGGGCCCTGGTCCTGCGTCCAGCTGAGACAGCGTCCCTGGGGATAGCTGCGGAGGTGCCAGACACCCACAGGCACAAGCCCTGAGGCACAGCCGTGAGACCTGGAAGGGAAGGTAATGACCGCTAGGGGGCTTCATGTTCCAGACCCGAGAGGGACATTTCCGACAGCCGAGAGCTCTCGGGGCCTGGGCTGGACGCCAGGGAGCCCGCGGGAGACAGGGTCCCTTTCCCTGTGGTGTAGCATGGGAAGAAAACTGCAGAGGATGTTTACATAACCTCCCCGTGGGACAGGCCTTCTTGAGGGAGACAGGAAACCTAGAAGCTATAAAAGAAAAGAAAACTGTCAGATTTGACTGCACGAAAGTTCAACATTTCTGAAAAGACACTCTAAACAAAACCAGAAGATGAACAGCAGACCCGAGAAGTGTGTGTAGCATGTGACCGGCAGAGAGCACCAGGAAGGAGCTCCTCCATGCGGGGTCAGCCTGGCTTGGGGCAACCCAACGGCCAGGGAGCTGCGGGTCGGAGCCACACGTCGAGGCTGTCGGGCTAGGGCAATGGCACTCAGTGGAGGGGTGAACAGCTGTGTCCTTCGGGGCAGTTATTGGCCATTTCTGTTAAAAGGTATGCTTACTCTTTGCCCTGGTGGGGGATGTTTATTAACTTTTTTGGTCTACTTGTGCCTGCCAATGGTAACTGCCATTTACTGTCTACCAGACGCACACAGTAGGGTCTTAAAGCATGCATCTCTCTCACTTTCAACTGGATGACACCGTCATGTGTTCAGCAGCCCGTAGACGTAAAAAGGCACGTGGCAGCGTCTCCCCACCCCCACACCACCTCACCTTCCCACCCCTGGGACCAACCCATTAGGGTTAGGTTCCTGAGGACCCTCAGAGATGTGCCCATCAGAAGGTGGACAGGGACATCTTTTCTCCCTCCAGCCACACACTGGGCTCTTTACACACGTCATTTCATGTTTTAGTTAAGGCTGTTGAGGCTGAGAGAAATGCCCGGGTCTGCTGCCTGAGCCCCCCATGCTGCACAGCCAGAGTCTGGACTTGGACAGCCTGGGGTTTGTTTTTGCCTGAAGTATCCATCACCTGTTAAAATACAGATATCCCAGGGTGTTCACATGTACCAGACGGTGCACCCCACTTCCTCTCCTGGGCTGGCGTTTGCTGGGGAGGCTCATGATGGAGAGCCTGGCCTCGGGACCCATGTAGGGATGGTGAGGCCAGGCATTGGGGCCCCCTGTCCGTGGTGTGCCAAGCTCACTGCTGCGAAGTGACAGCCAACCCTCAGCTCCACCAAGTCCAGGAAGTGCCTTGTCATGGTTCTAACTGGGCACAGTGACACAGCGTGGCTCCAGAGGGACAGTGAAGACAGTTCTGGAAGATGCCCTGGAGCATAGCCCCAGCCCACTGCCTGGTCTGTGGTGCAGCTTTTGGGGGCAGTGGGGCTCGGGTGCCGTGAGCATGCCTGGCCTGAGTGCACCTGCCATAACCAGGACCTGGGGATGCTTTGGCCATGGGGAGGGACTGTACCTGAGGCATCCATCCCCCGAGTCAGCACCGTGGGACACTTGCTGGCCCCAGCCCACCTTGGTTAATGTTGTAGCCAGATCTGCTGGTTGCAATGACAGACTCTGTTCAGGTGACTGATGGCTGCATCTGGACATTTCGCAGAACACAAAGCCGCACCACACATGCCAAATCGCAGGGACTGACAGCCACCACCACGAGTGCTGCCCGAGGGCTGTGCAGGCGATTCACACCAGAGGGATCTTGCCTGCTCCTCAGCAACACTGGGGATTTCCCCTATGCAGATGAAGACACCGAGGGGTGGGGATGTGAAGCCGTTTGCCCGAACACGCACAGCTGCAAAGCCTGGTGGGTCTGGAAGCTGCCCTGCCTGCCTCCAAGGACCAGGCTGTTAGCTGCCGCTCGCTGCCGGGTCTGTGTTCCAGAACCCAGTGGGATTCAGAGTGCGTTTTTTGACAGCAGTGAGGTTCCGGGTGGGCTGCCTTCCCAGACCTGCCACTAGCCTGTCCGACCCATGCCACAGCTAAAATTGAAGAGTGTCCTGTCACAGAAAAACAAGATGAAACAGCATCACTTTAATACTGGAAAGTCCACGTGGGTGAAAAGAGGGAGAGGCTAGTAGGGTGCACAGAGTTTGGCCCCAGTTCTGAGAATGGCCTCTCTGCCTGTGCCGAGGCCCTGCTGGGATCAGCCTCATCCTGGGTTCAGAGGACATGTGCAGTAAGAGGAGAGGTGTTCACACTGCGGGAGCACGTTCTGAGGGTGCTGGTGGGTTTGTCAGCATCACTGTGCTCTAACGGACGCAGGAGCCAGCCTGCCTGGGTCCAGGCTGTTTCCCACCTGTTTGGTTGAATGGGTTGAGGGAGGGTGGGGTAACCTGGGCAGGGGGTCGTGCAGTGCCTGGCCGGCAGCACCCCCGACGGCATGCGTTGTGAGCCTCCTGCAAGAGGCTCTTTGAGGGGACCTGAGGGCCCCACCTCCACTCAGCAGAGTTCCAGGAAATCTAGACACTGCTTCTAGTGGGGATCGGTCATGCAGTCCCCCTCCCCCTGCCCCAGCACAAGTCCAGATCCTGCCAAAACCAAGGGCATGTGAACACCATGCCTGCACAGGAGCAGGGGTGAGCCATGCTGCACCCAAGGCCCCAGCTGGCCCTCCTGCTACTTGGACAGCAGGAAGCAGGACAGGAGCCTTTGTGGCACCAGTGGATGGCTCGCCCTGTAGCGCGTATGGCCCAGCAGGAGTCTCGGCCAGGACGAGTAAGGCTGGCAGCCGGCAGAGGGCAAAAGGCATCTTCCCCCGTCTGTTCTCCCAAGGCTTCTGGTCTCAGCTGGTCTCAGCAGGTCTCGCAGCCAGAGACTGTGTTGGCTCCTGAAGTCCAGGCCAGGCCTTGGAAATCAGGCTGCCTCCCTGGTCCCCTGCTTGGGTTTAGTGCCTCCTCCTTGGTGTGCTGCCGTGTACCCCACTTCGTTTCAAAAGGTTTGGGGGCAGAGTCATGTGCCAGGCACTTGGCCAGGGTCTCTCTCAGCAATTTGTCATCCCCACCCCATTCTTCACTTTGCTGGATTAGTCTTTAAATTTCAAAAGTGGCGCATGCTCATTCTAATAAGACAAGCAATGCATATGTTGTTTTCCTGATTTAAAAAAAATCTGGTAAGATGATAAATTAGAGATGAGGAAAGAAAATGTAGTAAGTGAAGCTGATAATTGCCAGCGATTGTTTTGGGTGTTGGTCAAAAAAGAAAATGCTGGAGATTCTCAGTGAGTCCCTGCTCCACCCACCCGGCCAGCACCAGGACTCGCGATGGACACAGGGTTTAGCTGGGGCCTGTCCCACCTTGGCCCCTCTGTGGCCGTTCCCGTGGGAGTGGGAGAGAGACTGTTGCTTTAGAAGCTTTGGGGGAGAGGCTTGTGGCCACACCCTTGGACGGTGAGAAGTCGCCATCAGCCGAGTTCCTGCACAATTCTCCTGGGACACTGGCACACTCCAGCAGCAGTGGTGTCCCCAGCCTGCCCCGGGCCCTGTGCAGTCTATGCTGGTGCCACCCCAAGCTCTAGACCGAACCGAGCTGAGTGCGGCCGTGGAGCAGCCCGAGGCCTCAGCACGTCAGGGCCCGAGCCTGCTCCCATCCTGGGTTCTCCTTGCACGGCCTTTTCCCTTGTGTTTTAGAAAAACACTTCTCCTGCCGTGTCATGTCCATACGCTGCTTCACTTTGTGCTACTGTCCTCCTCGGACATGCACCAGAACACAGACCCGAGCATGTGTCCCTGTATTTATTCCATGATAAAGTCTGAATTGTGGCTGAGATGGGGCTGCCTCCGGTGGCCACTGGTGGCTCTGTCTTGTTTTCTAGGTGTACTACTGCCGCTCCTTGGCCCTGGCGTTCATGGAGCTCACGGTGGTGCAGAGGTTCCACGAGTACACGCACCAGCCGGGTGTGCCGCCCTCGCTGCGGGCTGTGCTGGGCCGGCTCAGCGCCCTGTATGCCCTGTGGTCCCTGAGCCGACACACGGCTGTGCTCTACCAAGGTGAGGCCCCTGCCGCCCCTGGGGACTGGGCAGCCCTGCTGTATCTAGGAAGTTCTGCTTTCCCAGCATGGCATTGCTTCCACGTGGACTTACTGAGCGCTTATCACAGCTGAGGGAGGCTGGGGACAGAACAGAGCCCAAATCCCACAGTAAGTCCAGCATAAGGGGCAAAGTGGCAGGACAGCGCTGATGACCTGCAGTTTTCCCTCCACTCAGGGTCCTGTTCAGTTCGGAGAATACTTCCAGGGTGCTTCCGCGGGGCCGTGTGCTGGGCTCTGCCGAAGCCGCACCCCAGGCCCTGTGGGCACAGGTAGACATGAGCCCATGAGTGCCTAGACAGAACTCTGGAAGGCTTCCTGGAGGAGGGGTGCCTGGGCTAATTCCTGGAGTTCTGGGGGGAATGGGCTAAACCAGCGTTTCTCAACCTTTTTTCATTATTGCCCCCAAGGAGCCTTTTTAGACATTTTTTCCCATTCCCCTGCCCATGAATTTTTTTTTTTTTTTTTTTTTTTTGAGACAGAGTCTCACTCTGTTGCCCAGGCTAGAGTGAGTGCCGTGGCATCAGCCTAGCTCACAGCAACCTCAAACTCCTGGGCTCAAACGATCCTTCTGCCTCAGCCTCCCGAGTAGCTGGGACTACAGGCATGCACCACCATGCCCGGCTAATTTTTTCTATATATATTTTTAGTTGTCCGATTAATTTCTTTCTATTTTTAGTAGAGACGGGATCTCGCTCTTGCTCAGGCTGGTTTCGAACTCCTGAGCTCAAACAATCCGCCCGCCTCAGCCTCCCAAAGTGCTCGGATTACAGGCGTGAGCCACCGCGCCTGGCCTAATTTTTATTACTACAGACACACCGTGTACCTGTTCGCATGCTGTGTGTACCTGGGCTTGTGAACGGCAGGATCCCCTTCCCCCACCAAGAACAGGCTCTTGCCCTGCGAAACGGAGGCCTGAGAGTGCACAGGTTAACTGAGGAAGGAAGGCGTGAGGGTGTCCAGGCAGAGGGTTGAGGGCAGAGCAGGAGCCTCCTTGCTGTCTGAGATAAACTCTTAGGTGGCAGACAGTTGTCTTCAGAAATCATCATGAATGGAGATTCCACCATAAATTCATTGTCAAGCGTATCAGTGCGCTCTCCCTGGACCTGCTAAGACCCCACAGCAAAGCTGCACCTGCCCAGTCCTCTGGGGGCTTCAGAGGCCCCATGTGCCTTGCACGGCCCCTCCCAGCCTCAGCCCCACCCTGCCACCATGGGCGGTGGTTCTGGGCACCCCCGTGCCCTGCGCCTCCTGTGTGTGCAGCTTCCTCTCTGCCTGGGAGCCCCTTCGGCACTTGCTCCTTCAAAGGAACTGGCCCAGCCTCCCGCCCCGCCAGGCCTGTCCTGCTGGGGTGAACTCCAGGCAGCGTCCCCCACCACAAAGCTCCCCCCTCCACAAACAGGCCTCCGGTGGAATGAATTTGGAAAACATCCTCAGGGTTTGTTGCTTTGGACTGAGGATGCCACACCCGAGTGTGACCAGGCCTGTGCTTACAGGTGGATACTTCTCCGGCCCGCAGGCAGGTAAAGTGGTGGAGAGCGCCATCCTGACCCTGTGTTCCCAGGTAAGCCGGTTGCCCTCCCCAATTCTGCGTTCACTCGTGTTACGTGCCGTCACCCACATGTTAGTGCACACCGCCTTTGCCTCCCACACATCCCATGCATTCAGCATTGGGGAAATGGGAAGACTGCCGGAAACAAGCCCATGTCAGACTTTTTATTATATTAATAGCAAAAGAGAAACTCATAGGGGCATCTCTGGGTCTGCACACATCAGTCCCCTCATATGCCTCTTGCAGCTACGCTGGGTGTTTGGGCTACTCGAGCTCCAACTTAAATTTGTCCCGTGATGTTGCCTTGTTTCTTCTTTTACTGGGTTGTGCAGGACGTCAGTGGCCCAGCCCCATGCCCAGGGGCTTCCTACGGGGACTTCCCTGGCTGTTCTGCCCACCGTCACTGCAGCCACATGGGGCTGCTGGTGGTTGGAACATGCCTGGTATCACCAAGGGTTTAAAGTGTCCTTTAATTTTAATGAATTTAATGTAAAGAGCCGCCTGTGCTCATGGCTGCCACGTTGAGCAGTGCAGCTGCTGTTGGTTTAGTTGTCACTCCACTTCAATGGCAGGACCTGGATCCGTGCTGCCTGCGCTTTAGCACCTCAGGAGACTGGACACGCTCCCTTGTCTCTCCCGTTTCACCGCTCTCAAAGTGGACCTGGGACCAAGGAACGTCCTTGTGACTGGCTCTGAGCCTCACCCAGGATTCATTTCATACACCCCCATCGCTGTCTGTAATTGCAGACTTTCACTTGTCTGAAAGAAAGACAGTGACAGGGTTCTCCCTGGGTCTTCGTGGTGCGGAGTTGCCGTTTATAAAAAAAAGGCCACAGCTGTTTCCCTGCCCTCTGGTGCCTGCCGAGGCAGTCGGTGGCTGTGGCCAAGGCAGGCTGGCATTGCAGGCAGCTTTGTGTGTGCCTGTCCACACCGTGCCTCCACCTGGCATTGGCAAAGCCCAGTCCTTGCTCTCTCGGTGAGGCCTGTGTCAGCCGGGGGTAGTGCCAGCTGGCTGTCTTCTAGGCCAGGGCCGGCAAACATCGCCGGATCCTGCCGTCCACCTGAGCATCGTTTTCGGGCATCTTGGTGCTTTGTGGCAGCGGTGAATGGTGGTCGCAGAGACCACGGCCCACAAAGCCGAAAACATCTTCTACCTGGCCCTTTACAGAAGGTGCTTGCCGACCCCTGGTCTGGGAGTCTCGGAGCCCTGCTCTGCTGAGGGCTCCCCCTCCAGAGCGGTGGCCTGGCCTTGGCCCGTGCAGAGGGCACGTGCGGCACCTCAGTCAGAAAGGCGCACTCCCTGCTGTCTGCCATGGTTTCGTTACCCGTGCTGGCCCATCATTTTTGATCTATGTCGTTAAGGTGGTTCCCCGTTCCGGTATTCTATGCAGTGTGGCCGTGGCATTTAATAAGTTATTTTAATAAAAATTTTTTGCATTTCAAGAAAATACTTGGGAGTCTTCTCATGTAAGTTTCATTTGTCATATTGTAGAATAATTTCTATAATGGAACGGGAGAGTAATAAAACTGCAGCTGAAGAGCCTTCGTAGTAGCATGAGTTTTCCAGGTGTCACAAATGCTTTCTCTGTTACATATTTTCTGGACGTACTTTCCTGTGTTGGAACATTAGTTGCTCAGATAGGTCAGGGATGAGAGATAAACCCCTGAAGACAGTTGCTAATTAGTGAGCTGCAGAGTTGTCACTTTTATAAGCATTTCCTACCTTGTTGGGAAAAAAACAAGCATTGGAAGTCTTGAGTGAATAGCAACATTGTCAAAATATGCAAACACACACTGAGGGAATCTGTAATCCGGCCAGTAAAAGGATGATGTTAGTAACGGAGCTGTGTGTGCCTGCTCAGGTTACCCATTGCTGGGGGGCATAGCAACCGTCGGGCTGTGGCTGTTACTCAGTGGTCACTGTGGAAATTCCTGGCAATTGCCAAGTGTGCGGACTTTGTTTTCCAACAGCTGAAGGACGATGCAGTTGCCCTGGTAGACGTGATCGCCCCTCCTGACTTTGTTCTGGACTCACCCATTGGCAGAGCCGACGGAGAGGTAAGGGGAGCCCCCCTTGACTGGGCTGGGGCCAAGGGCGGGGCCGCCAGAGGGCTGATTTGAGTCTGCAGAGCTGACAGGGGCCAGGAGAAGTCAGGGTGATCACACTCTCGTTCTCGGCCACGCTGGCTCTGTGGCTTCAGGGACTTGCCAGCCCTGCTTCCTCTCACTCTCGAGATGCGATGCCGTGGGAGCATCTCCTGCCCTTGCAGGCCGAGGTCAAAGGTCATCACAGGCATGTGCAGGAATAGCTCTGTAGCCTCTGCCCCTCCCCCTCCTGCGTGGCTGCCCCAGTCCCAGGTACCCCCTACCCGCCGCCATGCGGGCCCCTCACATTCAAGTCTTCTCTCCCCTAGCTTGAATCCCCTGCCGTCTCTGCCCCCGACACCCTCCCCTTGGCCCCTGTGCTTCCTTGGCAGCCTCCGCGGGGCTGCCCGAGGTCTCCTCTTGCCCCACGTGTTCAGAATGATTTCTTAGGAAGCAGATGGAATCGGGCCACTGCCCAGATGAGCCCCGAGCCCTCTGTGTTCTCCAGTCTTGTTTACACCGTGCCCCCTACCCCCAACCTTGACTCCAGCTTCACGGCCCTCCCTCGTCCCTCCCGCCACAGGGCCGGTGCCTGCCCAGGGCGTTTGCGCCTGCTGCTCCTGCTCACTGGGCTTGAGCCCAAACGCCACTCGGCCTCCAGCTCGGGTGTCATCCCAGGCATGTGTCCCCGCCCTGCTCTGTAGCCCCCATGGCACTTATCCCGAGCCTGCGAGTCTCCCTCCCCGAGTGGCAATGCCTGCACGGTGCTGCTCACAGGTTCCCTCGGTGGCCCCCAGCACCTCTGCATCCATGTGGCTGTGGCCCCTCTTCTGCTGCAGGGATGTGGCGTTGCAGTGTTCAGGTTACGTGCCTGAGGTCCCGTGGTTGTGAGCCCTGGAACAAGATTTACCCCACCCCAGCCCCCCAAGACCATGTTCCTTCTGCTAAGGTGTCTGTGGAACCAGGGGCTCTGCCGAGGTTGGAGAGTGGACATGAGTAGACAGGAGCCTCCATCTGCCCTTGTGGGGTGGTGAGATTGGCACTTTAAGAGGCCGTAAGGAGTATCCAGGGAGGGGCAGGTGCTGGCCTCACCTGGGTTGGGGCAGGTATGCCATGAGACCAGGCGCCGGCAGGCAGGATGGGAGGTGAGCGTTCCTGGAGCAAGAACGATGGCACAGTCGTGTCTAGGGACAGCCTGCTGTCCTGCAGCAGGGGTGCTGGCCACTGGACATCCTCCTAGGTCCCACATGGTATATGCGATCATGTCCACTTTCCTGCTGGGAAACCAAGATGTGGAGAAGCCCAGTGGGTTGTTCACCAGGCACACAGGTGAGGGGCATTCGAGAAGGAGATGCAGGTCTGCCACGGAGGACCCTCCAGCACACAGGTCTGTCCCACACAGAAGGAACCCCGCGAGGCTAGAGCACCCAAGCACTGCACCCTGCTCTGCATAGGCAGGGGAGTGCCCGAGAGGAAAGGAGAACCCGTCCCCATGACAGAGAGGGGCTCCCTCTGACTCTGGAGTTCACAGTCATAGTTGAAACCGGAGTCGACTGGAGACATCCCCTGGCAGGATGGTTTATAAAACGTGCGTCTCTCCTAGTTTTAAGGAACTGATGTTTTAACCAGGTGCCACCAGGTAAGAAATTCACTTTAAATGAACAAACACAGCTGTGGGAGATTATTTGAGACAATCATTAAATGAAGCCCAGAGCTCCAAATTCTGAAATGTCACCTGGAATTTATGAGCCGCAGAGGAGCGGCCTGAGGGTGTGTCTGTGGGAGCCTAGACTAGCACAGCGTGGGAGGAGTTGGGGAGTGCATTTAGCAGGTGCAGGCAGAGCAGTTTCCTAAAAGTAAAATTGGTCGACATCAGCCAGATGTAAAATAGACCATTCCCTGAGTCCATGGATTGAGTCTTCTGCCCCGGCTGCCGCTCAGCCCAAGCGCTGACCCTCTGTGTCTTGAGTGGGCAAAGTGTCAGTTCTCAGCCACGTTTCACTCTCACAACCTCCCTCTGGGATAGAAGCTCTGCCCTGGAGTCCAGAGTCTGGAGGGGAGTGCTGGTGGGCTGGTGTCTGGGGCAGGACAAGAGGGTGGCGTGTGCCAGGTGCAGTGGCCCAGGACCCGGGGGCCACACAGCAAGGCCAGCCTATGCACGGTCCCACCGCTGTTTGGCCACATCCCGCCAGTGCCAGCGCGAGGGGACAGATTTCAGGACAGTATGGATACGCACAGTCCTACGGTGGCCACAGTGTCCACCCTCCATAGTCATTTCCAAAGGCAAGGGCGAGGAGTGACTTTCATCATGTGATTTATGGTACTTTATAAAATTGAGTTTTCTAATTGTTTTCTACTTAAAAAAAGTTCATATAAATTAAATCATCTTAAGATTTTTCTAAAAAGCAAGAGTAAAGAATTTCCTGTGTGTTTAACAAAAACTTACGAGGGAGTTGCGTTTGCACACTGGGCCATCAGAGGAGTCTCTTCACTGCGTCTGCCCTCCGCTTACGAGCGTCCATCTCTCTGCAGCTCTACAAGAACCTCTGGGGCGCCATCCTCCAGGAGAGCAGCGCGCTAGAGAGGGGGTCCTGGTGGTCCGAGTTCTCCCACAACAAACCCGTCATAGGAAGTTTGAAGCCAAAGCTATAGTTGCACCAGCACACGTTCAGCTAAATGTAATTAAGCTAATTGAACTAATCAATTCATAGGCGTCAAACTCAAGTTTCAGAAGACACCAGAAATTTCCACTGCTTTCTGAACATGCACCTCTATGCTTCAGCCACTGCCTGGCTCCTCCCTGCAGAGGTGACCAGAGGTGGTCCCCGGAGGGCTGACCTGGGATCCTATGGCTTTGGTGTGCAGAGGAAACTTAGATGGCCACATCTTCCTGATGAGCTACGGGACTTGTGATGACTAGAATTTCGCATGTTCGATTTTCAGATACAGCTGCCCAAGACGTGGCAGACTGCTCATCATTGGGGGTTTTCTGATCTGCGACTCTGCAGAGCTCTGCTTCGCTAAGGAGTTGGGGACTCAGTCCAATTCTCTGTTAGCTCCACTTTCACTTTATCATGTAATCAAATTATAACCTGTTTGCACAGCGACCAAATGCCTTAGCTTAAGATTTTTAAGGGGGAAAAATCTATTTTAATACTTTTTTTGTGGAACTGAAAGTTTCCAACGAGGAAATGTTTCCAATTAAAAACGAGTCATGATTTGAATGTCTGGACAATTCAGTCTCCAGCCTCCCAATTGTACACAAATTACTTTACACGATGCATTTCATCGTTCTGTTCCCAAAGTAGGTGAAGAGCTCAGTGCTGTGTGCCCACCAAACCCTTTCACGGGTGTGGCCTGTCCCCACAGTAGCGTCCCCACTGCAGCCACAGTCTGACTGCAGCCCAGATGGGGTCAGCGCACCCCTCGCCCGGTCACTTCTGCCTCCCCCTCAGACCACAGGCTTGGCTGGGTGTTCTCACTCATGGGTTCCCGCTTCAGCGTTACCTGACCTCGAGTCAGTCCAGCTCACGGGGCCTGTGTCAGCAGCAGGGGAATTGGTCACCCAGTGTCCTCCAACTTCTGTCACCTTGTCCACTCTGTGACTGTGGCCGCCCTGTGTCACCACGGGCCAGCAAAGATGTGACACAAGCTCTCCTGGGGTGGTGCTGAACCAACAAGGACTAGTTCTTATTTTTCCAAATAGTCCAGAGAACTCCAGAGTTGTCCGAAGGACATGGTTGAGAATCTGTTTCTTAAAGACTGAGCTTCCAGCGCTGGCAACCACTTGACTTCCCAAGCCTCAGTTTTCCTTGCTACAAAAGGCTCAGACCCTCCTTCCTGCAGGGCCCTGGGGCACCTGCAGGGTAATTCGGGTCCACTTCAGTGAGCACCTTGGCACTTCGAGTTAGTCATCTGACCGGGCGGCTGTGTGGGTGGGTGTGCTGCCAACACGTTTCTCAGAGGAGGAAACTGGCCCCAAGAGGCTGAACCATGGCCGTGGGCAGGTGGCCAGAGGATGGCTGAGCTGGCCCAGGGGACCTCCCTGGAGCCCGAGGCCCCAGCACGGGGCCGGGCAGCAGACATTGCTGGTGTCCATTGTGGTAACCGGGAGCAGCCCCACCCTTCATGTCCCTCTGGTTTGGAAGCTTCCCTGGGTTAAAGTAAACTCTTCATGGTTTTCAGTGTTTTGTGCATTATACTCCACTCTTCCTGCTTTCAAAGAAAATGGAACAAAAGATGGTATTCCAGACCCCTGCCAGTGGAGATGGGTTGGCTGTGAGTGCAAACTCAAATGACACGCCAGAGGGAGGGCTCAGAGGCCCAGGGGTCCCCAAGGCCAGCCCCCCACCCCAGGCCCCAGCCCAGAAGAGCCGGTGGGCCTGCCAGCTGGGGTCCGCCTCGCAGGACACCACGTGGCTGTGTGTTTGTGGACAGGCTGCTTTTTCTAGATCTGTAGCTCTTCCGATGGGTGAGGAGTTGGAGTGCCTGCTGCCACTTTCTGGCTTCTCAGTGCGCTTCTGCCTCGCACGCCCCCTGCCCCAACATCAGGAGGATTTACATCTTTATAGTAAGTCATCTTGCCATCTAAGACTATTCTTCAAGTTGTTTTTAACAAAGAGGTGTCTGATTGTTGTATGTTTATTTTGGTTGCCTTATTAAAATCTTATTTAATTATTATAGTCTTTCATTGATTCTCTTTGGTTTTCCTTCTATATCGTTAGCAAATAGTGGTGGTTTTGCTCTTATCTTTCCTGTTTAATGACACCTGCTGGCCCTGCTGGAACTGTCTTCCACACTGTGGGCACTGCTGCCTGGCCCTGTGTCAGGAAATGCCACCAGCTGCTCACACCACTATGGCCTGGAAAGACAGACTGGGCAGGAGACCTGGCAAGAGATCTCGCTTGGCGGCAGAGGCAAGCGTGTGCTGGTGGCTATGACAATGGCCAGAGATCTCTGTGCTTCTCTGAGGGAGATGCCTGTGGAGGGAGAGACCTCACCCCAGGGAAGAGTGAGGAGATGCCCACAGCTGGAGAGACCGTCTCACCTGGGAAGAGAGAGAGACAAGCTCCCTGCACTAGGTAGGGCTGGCTTGGAGGTTAATTTCTTGGGGTTGAAGTCTTAGTGCTGCTGCTAAGTCTCTTGGTGGTGGTTGGCATTTGCTCTTTTTCATTGTGGGATGTGTGGGTGACACCTCTGTCTCTGGTTTGGGAGCTCCTGTGCTGCCTGTGGTCCCAGGACAGTCTCTGGTTCACTTTTGCATTCCAGGACTGGGCCACTTGCTGTCACTGCACTTTACATCAGAGGATTTCCCCTGGGCTGTGGGCTTTGATCCTAAACCCAGGAGGTCAGTGTGGCTCTGTGTGAGAACCCAGAGTTCCCGGAGCTTCCAGGAGTGCCCCACGCCCATTCCCGTCCCAGTGGGAGGACTGACCTCGACTGGTTTGCAGCCCCAGACAGCCCAGCAGCCACCCAGGAGGCGACACCATTTGCTCTGAGATTCTCAGAGGAAGCTGTTCCCAATCTGTGGTGGGCAGCGCGAGCCCACATCGTGGAGGGAAGGAGAGTGCGAGGTGACTTGTGTAAAGACCGTCCCACACTTGCTCTGAGACACGCTCCCTGGGCGGCTCCATCCTCAGCCCAGGCACTGAGCTCAGAGTGAACTTTGTTCACCAGCCCCATTCAGACTCCCTCAAGCCCACGTTGTGCTGACCTGCTCACTTTGCAAGAGAAGACACGCAGATAGTCTTACCAGGGATGAAGGCTTGGGATGTGAAAACAGAACCCGAGAGCGACCTCCCTGGGGGTGGCTTCTAAGGTGCGTCATTTCAGTTTGCAAAAATTCTTGGCATCTCATGAAACTTTTTTTTTGCTCCAGAGCAAGGCTTCTAAAAACAAAATATTTTTAGGAACATTTTCCTATGTAATAATCCTTAAAGACCTTGGTCAAATGGAGGTCGTATGATGGGGACAGGCTTGGGAGTTTGGCCCAGGTTTGAATCCTAACTTGGTCACTTGCTGTGAGACCCTGGGCACATTTCTTAACCTTTCTTGATTTGTTTCCTCCTTTATAAAACCACTTGCCTTTCAGGGTTGTGAGGGTAGACTGAGATGCTGCATGTGCTATAGCTTTGATGTCTGTCCTCCAAATCGCATGTTGAAGTTTGATCTCCAGTGTTGGAGCTGGGGCCCAGTGGGAGGTGCTTGGGTCTTGTGGGTGGATCCCTCATGAATAGATTAATGCCCTCCCTGGGGGTGGGGGCGTGCTCTCTCTCTCCCCCCAACCCCCTCCATGTGCCTGATCTCTGCACACACCACTCCCTTCTCTGTCCTCCATGAACAGAAGCAGCCGTCCCAGATGCCCGACTCCAGGCTTCCTGAGCAGCCTGCAGGACGGGGAGCCCAGAAAGCTCTTGTCTGTATGAATGACCCACCTCAGGTGTTCCTTTATAGCAGCACAGAAAGGACTAAGACAACACGTGAAAGTCTCTAACAGTCCAGGGCCCAGTGAATTGGACCCCAGGGGCCGTGCCCAGGAATCTGCGCCCTCCCTGCAGCCTGGGGCAGTTCTGATGCACAAGGGTCTCAGGACCAGGCCATTCACTGGGCCTAAATTCTGGGGAGACAAGGGAGTGGTCAGTGGCCCTGGGGGTAGGGGGACACCCCATGGCACTTACAAAGATGCAGAGATGGAGAACGCAGGGTCCCACCCTGTACAGCTCCGAGCACCTGCCCATGTACCTGAGGCCAGCTCCACTCTTGCCCCTCAGTTCTCCCTCTTCAACATGAGTCTTTTCCAGGATCCCAGGGGGCCGTAGGATGAGCTTCAGGAGGCTGCCAGCGGGCCCTTCTCTGTGAGAACTGGGCCTGCACAGAAGGCCTGGCTTGTGTGGGAGCCCTATCATGTGGCCTTCGTCCCTGTGGGAGGTCCCCTCCACACCAGCCATCTGGGCCTTGCCAACCCCAGGAGAGCTGCGGGGCCCCTCTGCGCCCTTCCTGGCACTTCCCTCCTTCCCCGGCCAGCAGCCTCCATGTGGATGTGGACGTGGTGTTGGCAGCACAGTTTGCTGCCCATCTGGCATCAGGGCCACAGTAGCCAGTCACTTCCCTTGCCCAGCCGTGACGCGTCTGCCAGAAGGAACTGCCCGGCAGGCCTCCTTTGCTGCGGTGGCCGAGACAGCCCCTCCTCTGGTCGGCTCCGACTGGTTTGTGGTCAGTCTCCCCACCAGTCTGGAAGCTCGCAGGGGTCAGGGCCCAGAGCCGAATCGTCCATCTCCAGCTCCCAGCAAGGGCCACACAGAGAAGGTGCTTGGCGAGAACTGAAGGGTGGGTGGATGAACAGAGGTGGATGAGTGGAGGAGCGGACTGAGGAGTTAATAAAGGAACACTTTGGTCAGATGGTGCGGAGGGAAGGAGGCCCATTTTGGCCACCGTGGCCAGTACCAGTATTTACCAGTGTGGCCCCATCACTCCACCAGTGGGCTGCGCCCTCTCGTGTGATACATGGGCTCTCCTCTGTCCACCCTGGGCTTGCGCTATTGCTCTGTCCTGGACGCTGACCACCCAGCTCTGGTGCTGGCTCCACCACCCTGGTTAGCTCCGTCTGCGGTGCTGGCCGGGGGCTGTGTGTGACAGGACTGCCTCCCCTCTGTCCCCCTGTGAGGGACAGGGTGTCTCGTTGCTGCCCCTCACAGGACCCGCCCCCGAGGTGCTCAGCGGAGGTGAGTGGGGAGCAAAAGGGTGGATAGAGGGTGGATGGAGCCGCATTTCTAGCCCCGCCTCAGTTTCCCTATCTGGGGCTGCAATGATGACAAGGAGGAGGAGGACACAGCTCTGGGACAAAGCCCCCCAACCCCCACCCAGGGTGTCCCACGTCAGGCCTGCCAGAAGGCTGTGACGCCTACCCAGCACAGGGGACAAGAGCCCTTTGTGGGGACAGCCAGGAGGCAGGCGCGGCTTCCTGTGCAGCCGCTGGCAGCATAGGCGTCTGGTCTGTGTTTGCTGAAGCCAGGCTGGAGAAGATCCCCCACACAGGCCACGGGGAGTGACTTCCTGTCCCTGCTGCCTCCAAGACCAGGGCAGTTTCGACAAACCTCAGCTGCACCAGGTACCTAAGGCTTTCCTGACGTGACCTTGAAGCTCTGGGAGGACAAACTCCAAAGGCGTTAGAGGGCTGTGGCAGCCCACCTCTGCCAGCACCGGCCTCCCTGCCTCCCCTGCCCCT